GGGGGGGGGGGGGGGGGGGGGGGGGGGGGAATAAATCGTTGGCAAGGTGGCAAGGAACGGGGTGCGTCGGAACTGGTGGCATTGTGGTCGGAGATAGAGATGGCTATCGGGCCGCGCCACGCGGTAATTGCCAGGAACTACGGGGGGAAATTAAAGCTGCCCCGATCTTCCGGCGGGCCATTGTCGGGACTCGCGACAGTGTTCCCGGTACAACGTTCTATTTATCAGAAACGGCCGTCGAATAGAAGGTTTCGGCTGATAGGCTCCCGTGTCACTGTGTCACCAGAATCGAAATGCCCGCCAGCTTCTTTCTCGTTATCTTTTATGATACGCAAATACTTATGATTAGTGAGATGTGTATTTGGAGATTAAATGATAAGATATTTACTATGGTCGAAAGGTCAGCGTAGGAAAGGGAATGGAGTGATAATTTTGATTTATTTTTTACAATCTGTGTGTGCACGAATCGATTTTTATCGATAACGTAACGCTCTATAACGTTGCGTATTATATTACTGGAAATGATTGGAATTATTGCTTATTGTTGTGTGTGTGTGTGTGTGTGTGTGTGTGCTGCAGATTATTGTACAAGATTGTCTTTATTATAAACTTTATCTGAATTGAAAATGTAGCAAAGAAGGTGTGTGTGTGTGTGTGTGTGTGTGTGTGTGTGTGTGTGTGTGTGTGTGTGTGTGTGTGTGTGTGTGTGTGTGTGTGTGTGTGTGTGTGTGTGCTGCAGATTATCGTACAAGATTGTCTTTATTATAAACTTTATCTGAATTGAAAATGTAGCAAAGAAGTATAATATATCTAATTATATATCGATATACATATCAAAAATTTGAATTGGCAAATAAGACAAGAAAATAAATTGAAACAATATCTTACATTAATAGATTTATTAAAATATCTTAGGAAACTAATCTACTCTTACAAATATAATAATATAATTTTAGCAAGCACGCGCGTAATTTTACTCTTCGTATTCGTATTTCGTACTACTTTCAACTTTGTATGTTTCGAGATTGATGGTGGCTTACGTCTAATCATCACCGTTTTTGCATTTGTGTATTTTATATTTTCCGAGCGGTTATATCTCTATTTATTCTCATTGAAAGATAATTCTCAAGAACAATGGATTTTCTTTTCATATTCACGTCTGTAAATTAACTTATGATCGCACTTGCGTGACGTCATTTATATTCTTGGAAATAGACTTCGGGGATAATTACCGGATTTTCTAAACTTCCTTAGTCTTCTTTAGTAATGTGCACTTGGCTTCGTCCGGTGTCACGCATTCGGGTTTTGTGGGTCTGAAATGTAGACCGCCCTCGCATTGGCCGAGGATCCAATCCTGATTATCGTAACACTGATAATATTTAGAGCAGTCGCACTCGTGTGCTTTGGTGGCGTTGGTCTTACAAAGAGGGGGTATAGTTGTCGGCTTAGTTGTAGGATCTATGGACCCGCCTTTGCAGTTTCCATTTCCTCGATTCTTAACGCATCCCTGACATGTGCGACTAAAGCATTCACCGCTTGGACAAGTACCTGATTTCCGCCCACCATTTTTGCATATGATATATCCTTTGCAATCTGTACTGTCTGGATCTGCTATCCTAGATTCTGGCGGGTAGATGCCATTTTTATCTGGTTCAGGACAGGCTTCACAACCGGCTAGCCACGGCAAATCGCAGACTTGAACGGTTCTGTTGAAGTGCAGCCTTTTATTTGGATCGTCTGGCCACATTAAGGGACATAATTGTTCGATTCTTCTACCCGCGAGGCATGTGTAGAACTTGGTGCAATCACTTTCATGGGCGAGATGGACCGTAGTATTTTTCGAATCTATAAACGGGCATTCTCTAACAATATTGTCGAGGGGTCCTGTCTCCTGAATAAATTCTTGATTTTCGTTTGCAATGCACACGCTCCAAGATGCCAAAAAGGCAATGGCGATTACGTATATCCCTGTGTTGAACAAAAATTATCGCTACATGTCAATTGCCGTATGATTGAATGATGATTTAATCGACTTTTATTGCAATCGAAAAAAGTTATATATATGCCAATTATTTCTCATAAATTTACATAAAAAGCTTCCGTGAAACATGATGTGTAAATACATATATATGTATTTCGATTTACTTTATAATATTTTTATGATAGAAAAATTTGTTAAATATTTAACAAAACTTACCCTTCATCACCTATCGTCTACTCGAAACGTTGAAGAAAAAAGAACGCGTATCTCGTTCTGTCAACACTTCTCCAATCTGTTTAAATACGTGATTGACTGAATTTCGGGCGGATCGGCTTTTATAAATATGCATCGCGTTATCACGAAACACGCAAGGACAGATGATATCTATTGAAGATATGCTTTTCTCGTTTGATCAGAAAAGATTATCAGTCATATTGTTTCGCAGAAAAGCCAGAGCGCGCTTTAAGATTTGAGCTATGGGTTATGAATAATATTTGCATGATTGTAGCGGTGAATCGATAGTTTTACATATTATGAATTTGCTGAATTTGATTTTAATCAAACATGCCTTATGTTTATATATTATTGCGATAAAAGATCTTTAATAATAAGTTAATGAGGCAATAAGAGAATCTTTTCAGTATATGATTTTCGGTTAGATAATAATCGAAACTCGTAAACGTTTTAATATTAGAGCTTTTTAATTTAACTAGAACCGCGCAGACCATTGTAATCATTAAAAAAACATTGTATAATATTGTAATATTCTCGTATCTATTCAATAAAAATTCTACATGAGACGAAACTTACAATCTTGCATTGTAAAGATATAAAAACCGTTTTACGCAAAAATATCTCGTTTCATCTTCAATCACGATACTTATTATCAAGATATAATTTGAATTGACATAATATACTAGGTCAATGAAAATAATAATTCAAAAAAATAAAATTATTGAATTAATATTATAAAATATGCAGTTCATTTCAATATCTGACAACTATAATAGAACGATGAAATTGAATATTTTTGCGATTTTTTTTTTCGTATCGTGATTATTTCTTGTATTGTCCGATTAGATTATGTGCATATGTGTGCACTTAGAAATAATAAATTAATAACGTTGAAATTAAATTCTAATATAAATAAAATATATTATTACAAGTGGTCTTTTTCTCTCCGTACAAGTATATATGATACATATAATAGATTGTACTCTTTCATAAACTTTATCCGAATTGGAAATATAGCAAAACAATTATAATATATTTAATTATATATCGATATATCAAAAGTTTAAATTGACAAATAACACAAGAAAAATAAATCGAAACAATATTACATTAACATATTTATTAAAATATCTTAGGAAACTAATCTACTCTTACAAATATAATAATATAATTTTAGCAAGAGCACACGCATAATTTTACTCTTCGTACTCGTCACTACTTTCAACTTTATGTGCTCCGAGATTGATGGTGGCCTACGTATAATCATCACTCTGATATTTTTGCATTTGCGCGTTTTACATTTTCCGAGGTTACATTCTTATTTATTCTCATTCAAGAATAATTCCCAAGAACAATAAATCTTTTTATATTCACGTCTGTAAACTAACTTGCGACCGCACATTATTTATTCTTGGAAATAGGCTTCGCGGATAATCATCGGATTCTTTAATTCTTTGATATAAATGGGCAGTCGGCTTCGTCCGGTGGATGGCAGAACGGTGTTTTGTAACTGAAATGTAGACCGCCAGCGCATTGTATGGGATCACCCCAAACCTGATTATTATTACACTTATGATATTTGGAGCAGTCGCAATAGTGTCGTTTTACTTTGTTGGTTTTACAAACAGGGGTTGTTTTCATCGTAGTTATCGACGTAGTTGTCGTAGTAACTATGGGCCCGCCTTCGCAGTTTCCACCTTTTGGATTCTTAACGCATCCCTGACATGTGCGACTAAAGCACTGACCGCTTGGACAAGTACCTCGTTGCCGCCTACCATTTTTGCATATGATATACCCTCTGCAATCTCTACTGTCTGGATCTGCTATCCAAGATTCTGGCGGATAGTTGCCATTTACATCTGGTTCAGGACAGACTTGACAACCGGCTTGCCCCGGCCAATCGCAGACTTGAAGGGCTCTGTTGAAGTGCAGCCTTTTATTTGGATCGTCTGGCCACATTAAGGGACATAATTGTTCGATTCCTCTACCCGCGAGGCATTTGTAGAATTTGGTGCAATCACTTTCATGGGCGAGATGGATCGTAGTATTTCTCGGATCCGTAAACGGGCATTCTCTAACAATATTGTCGAGGGGTCCTGTCTCCTGAATAAATTCTTGATTTTCGTTTGCAGTGCACACGCTCCAAAATGCCAAAAAGGCGATGGCGATTACGTATATCCCTGTGTTGAACAAAAATTATCGCCAAATGTCAATCGTCATATAATGGAATGACGATTAAATCGACTTTTATTGCAATCGAAAAAAGCTATATATATATATATGCCAATTATTTCTTATAAATTTAGATAAAAAGCTTCCGTGAAGCATGATATGTAAATACATATATATTCCGATATACTTTAATATTTTTATGATGGAACAATTTGTTAAATATTTTACAAAACTTACCCTTCATCACCTATCGTCTGCTCGAACTGTTGAAGAGAAGAGAACGCGTATCGTTCGTTCTGCCAATAATACTTCTCCAATCCGTTTAAACACGTGATTGACTGAATTTCGGGCGAATCGGCTTTTATAAATGCATCGCGTTATCACGAAACACGCAAGGACAGATGATATCTATTAAAGATAGTTTTTTTCATTGAAGTAGTTTTTCTGGTTTGGTCAGAAAAGAAGATTATCAGTCATTATATTGTTCCGCAAAAAAGTTTCTGCGCCAGAGTGCGCTTTAAGATTTGAGCTACTGGTTATGAACAATATTTATGTGATTGTAGCGATACGTGAATCGATAGTTTTACATATTATGTAATACAAAAGATTGCAAAATTGTAATTAATCTTTATATTATTGTGTGCTTTTATCTCTGAATTTGATTTTAATTAAACATGCCTTATGTTTAATTAAAATCTTATATTTATATATTATTGCAATAAAGGATTTTTAATAATAAGAACTAATGAGGCAATAAGGGAATCTTTCCAGTACATGATTTTCGGTTAGATAATAATCGAAACTCGTAAAACGTTTTAGCTTTTTAATTTAACACTGGAATCGCGCTGACCGTTGTAATCGCTAAAAAAAAACAATGTGTAATATCCGTATTGTAATATTCTTGTATTTATTTAATAAAAATTCTATATTGAGACGACACTTACAATCTTGCATTGTAAATATATAAAAGCCGTTTTGCATAAAAATATTTCATTTAATCTCCAATCACGATATTTCTTATCAAGATATAATTTGAATTAACATAATTTACTATGTCAATGAAAATAATAATTCAAAAAAATGGGATTATCGAATTAATATTATAAAATATGCATTTTACTTCAATATTTGACAATATAATAGAATAGATGAAATTGATGAATATTTTTGCGTTTTCTTAAGTAATTGTCTCTTATATTTTCCGATTAGTTTATGTGCATATGTGTGCACTTAGAAATGATAAATTAATAACGTTGAAATCAAATTCTAATATAAATAAAATGTATTATTACAAGTGGTCTTTCTCTATTTCTCTTCGTAAAAGTATATATGAAATATATAATAGATTTGAATATACTCCAAGAGAGCGTTATTAATATATGTGAACTTCATCATGAAAAATGAGTAAGATGCTTTTTGCCCACTCAAACTGCTTATCATTAAAATTAACGCTAAGATGCGTATCTTTGATATCTCGTAATCTGTATTCGACTAGCCTCGATGTAAGGTTCATTTCTCACCTGATAAAACTTAGAATTAATGAATATGACGATGACGCTCGATTATTACCCATATTAACCTGGCACCCCCACCACTTTGAAAGATCGTCGGCCATAGTGCATAATTAAGTGCTAATTTGTTGCTAATTTATTGCTCTAAGTTCGAATTTATTGCTCCTACCCGTTAGCAGGAAAATGATATTAAAGATGGGGGTGCTGACTTGCCATTAAGCTAGCACCCCCACCTCCGAAAAACACTTATAGCGAGTCGCAAATCATAAAACAAATACACTAGAATTTATTGCTAATGGATTTTTCTAAGTTAAACGTTGAGCAATAAATTTGATATTATATATTTTGAGAGCAACAAATTAGAGAAACATTTTAAGACCAAAATCATTACAGCAACTAATTGCGTTCATGTACTTTACTCTTGTACGAACGCTGGCACCGCCACTCTTTCGGGTCGATTTTTCTAATTAAACTGCAAGCAATAAATTCGGAAATGGTTTGTTTTGAGAGCATTTAATGCAGAATACAATATTGTAACAAATTAATATAGTTAGTTACTTATTTTTGACGATTTTACTTTATATGTTCATAGTATGTCATATTGGTGGTTAATTAAAAATTTAATATTTTTGAAATCTGTTTGCAGTATCTTCGAGCAATTAATTAGCAATAAATTCTAGTGTATTTGTTTTATGATTTGCGACTCGCTATAAGTGTTTTTCGGAGGTGGGGGTGCTAGCTTAATGGCAAGTCAGCACCCCCATCTTTAATATCATTTTCCTGCTAACGGGTAGGAGCAATAAATTCAAACTTAGAGCAATAAATTAGCAACAAATTAGCACTTAATTATGCACTATGGCCAAACCCGATTTTTCGTGGTGGGGGTGCCAGGTTAATAGGGGTTCGATTATTTCGAACCATTACCACTAATCAGCAAAAGTTTGAAAGATCGTCAGTTATCAAGATTTTTTTTCAGATACGTATTTTTTGTAGATATAAAATACATGAAAATGATGAAATTAATAAATTGTGTGTAAGAAAATGTGCACTCGCTTTTCAGATTAACTACGAATGGAGATTAATTGGCAGCTCTTTGTCTGTATTATTAACAAGAGTTCTTTTTCAGTAGAAAATTTGTGAAATCTAAAGCTTAAGAATTCACATATTACACAGTCATTTTGCTTTTTATCAGACAATTACATTAAATGTTAAATATTTGTATGAAAAAGTCCTGTCTGATTCTCGCGAGTATACCATTGTAATGGATTTCGATAATATTGCTTGATCTTTCTTTGATCAAACTTGTATAACTTATCGCAAAGGAGAGATCGCGATAAATTTTTAATCTTGTTCGCCATCGTAAATTTTTGCATACGTCTCTGCGTGCGTTCTGTTGCTACCATGTGCATGTTGCTTCGCTCTCCATCGTGGCATAACTAACAAATGACATGCGTGTACGAGCTATCCGCGTGTAGACAGGATCGCACAGACATAGACGGATGTGCACGGGTGAAGTACATTAATCAAGTGGTATGATATGCGTCCTTAACCCTTCCGTCTGCCCTTGCATTCCCTTCGTTATCCCATTGCAAGTTAGCGCTACGGCTAAAACCAATTCATGGCTAGAGCTGTTACAGAATCATCTGGCTTCCGTCATCTATCGATTTTTTGCTCGAAATTATGATGATTGCATTTTTATTAATGCCCGTCTTTAACAGCATAAACATTATGAAGACAATACAGCGAACAAAGATTCTTTTAGTTTTATTTACCAACTCATCGATAACAATCCGAATATTGTGAGAGAAAGTGAAGAATCATGTAACCTTATCAATTATAAAAAAAAAAAACATATTCAAAGAAAAAGAAACGTGAATATTTAAAGAAGTTAAAGATCTAGTCTATTCTAACAGTATGAAAAATTAATGGTTTTTAGGAATTTTTTTTGAAAAATATTAGAGATTGATCTTTTTAACGTTTTACATATGTTTTTATTGATGTTTAAACAGTATGCCAGTATTTTTAAATCTTAGAATTTTTCTTTTTTTTTTTATTGATACGAGCCTCTGCATAGCGTGTTCAAAAATACATGGTTTGACGATGTGACATGTTCTTCATGTAATTGTCCGAAACGAAAAAAAAAATTGATCTGGTGTTACTTCGTATGATATTATTGGGATACTGAACCTAATTATAGAATTTAAAAAATTAAGATTTAATATTTTTCTGACTTTAAAGAAATAAAAAAATTTCAGCAAAATTGAAATGTTTGATTTTAAAATGACACTAGTTATTATTCAATTTTTTCTAATAAAATTCGTCGTTTTTGAACGTGCTATGCGCAGAAGCTCGTATATTAAACAAAAAAAAAAGCCTAAATATGCAAGACTTAAAAATACTGACGTACTATTTAAACATTTAAATGCATATGTCATGTATGTAAACGCCAAAAAAAATCATTTTCTAATATTCTTAAAAATCATCAATTTATCATACCGCTAGGATAGACTAGGCCCTTAATGTTTAAACTTCTCGCTGAAGTATATCAGCGATAGAAATTTCTCGGCACGTCGAACCGCGCTGAAAAATAAAGCGATCGATTCGCGGCGGTTTGCCGGTACGGCAGATAACGCGCATGCCGCGAGCCGGGGATGTGTGTATATGCTTCTCTCGTCTCGATTCATTATTCCACCTTCATGAATATATCGCGCTATCGTCTTCCGCGCTCGCGCGCAGCTCCGTTTTCAATTTTCTCCACGTGAACCGTCCTACGCGAGCGTGACGATACATACTTGCACACTCGGGGAGAGTGTACATACATGTACGCGTGTACATTGCGTATCTCCACACCGCCGTTTACACATATATACACGTGCCGCGAAGCACGCGCGAATTCGCGCGCGTAGCTCGCGAATGCAAGAGGATGCACGCGCGAGCGCGCGTACATAAGCGCTTCTATATATACATATATATATATATATCCAGATGATATATAAAGGCGCGAACGCAAGGCACATATGTACACCATACGGTTATGTATGTGCGCGAGCTCGCTCGCACATACATAGCGGAGAGCACCAGGCGGGCTTGGTTGCGGATAATTCAGGCAATCAGCGTAATGTTGCGGCGGTGAGGACCCTCCAGCCCTCACTACGTATATAATACGGTACCTACCTATCCGCCCCGGCCAACCGGCGCGGCGGGCTTCCGCAGATACGTAACTGCGGACCGAGTATATACGCGCCCGACACCGGCTATCCAGTCTATGTATGCAAAAGAGAAAGAGAGAGAGAGGGAGAGTTAGGTAATAGCTGTACGCGTGCTTACGGGAAATTCTACCGGGTGATCCGCGACGCGCATATGTGGAGATACATATTCGGACCTGAACGACGACTCTTTAAAGTTGCTTGAATGTACACGAAATCCCGTATCTTAAATCTCGTCTCGAGAAATATAAAATGCAGGTCGAGTTTTATCGCGTTAACGATAACGGATAAAGTATCGTGTGATTGATACGATTTATTGAGATACGCAGTTGTATCGAATGGTTCGCCGGTCAGGCGAGAAAATTGTACGCGTCCTTGTTGCGTGTACGAGCCGGATCGTGTCGCGATTTGATCAATTTGCTCATCCATCGACATCGCGAATGCGAGGCTCTCGTAACGAGCTGCTGGCGCAACAACGTACGTAGCATCGCGGCGAGGAGGTTGTTTCGAATCGCCGAGTCGCCTGCTGGACCAAGGATAGGCAGGCCCCGAGTGACAATGCGTCGAGTATTCTCGAAATGTCCCGGTGCAGAATGCGTTCACCCTGTGTCTCTCTTGCGCT